TGACGGGGGCGCTGCGACGGAGCGGCGACGGCGCGGTCGGCGGCGCGGACCCGGACTCGCGACGAACGAGACGACGGGTGTACCCCACGCCGGAGCCCAGCGCCGCGCCGTCGGCCGCGAGCGCGGAGCGGGAGCGGGAGCGGCACGCGGTGCACACGCATAGAACGCGGCACTACCACGCTGAGGCGGGGTCGTCGTACTCGTATTTGTACGACGACGACGAGACGTATTCCTACGCCTTCGTCGACGACGACGACGACGATAGCGCGTCGGCGGACGACGACGATGGCGAGTACCTTGCGACGAGCTACTCCTTCTACTACGACGCGTCGAGCTACGGCAGCTACAGTTTCGACGACGACAGCAGCACGCCCGGGCCGACGATGCTTCCGTGGCCGGCGCCGTCCGGGAGTCCGACGCCCATTCCGTCGTACGATCCAACGATCCTACCGTGGCCGGCGCCGACTCCTAGTCCAACTGTCCCTCCGACGACTTCCAGGCCATCTGCGACGCCTTCTTACGCTCCTTCTCCGAGACCTTCGACCGAAGCGCCGACCGACGCCCCGTCGAGTTTGCCGTCGGGAAAGCCATCCTCGCCGCCGCTGCCGGCGCCGAGCGCCGCGCCGTCGTACATGCCCTCTCCGGCGCCGACGAGCCCTCCGTTGCCAGAACCCACACCGGCACCGAGTTACGGACCTTCGCCCGCCCCCAGCACGACTGCTCCGAGCGATGCGCCCACAGTTTTGCCATTCCCTTCGCCGACTTTTTTGCCCGTGGCCGCGCCGACGCCGACGCCGACGTACGGCCCCTCGACGGGCCCCTCGATGCTTCCGAGCACTGCGGCGCCATCGACGAGCCCGACGACCTCGGCGCCGAGCCCTTCGCCCTCGGCCGCGCCGTCGTCGACCAGTCCGAGCGGCTCTCCGACGGTTCTGCCCTACCCGGCGCCGTCCGCGACGCCGTCGTACGACCCCTCGACTTCTCCGACACTGAATCCGACGCTTCGGCCTACTGACCTCCCGTCCTTCGACCCGTCGGCGGGGCCGACACTTCTGCCCAGCTTCGACCCTTCGCCGGCGCCAACAACCGCCTCTCCGAGCGCGGATCCGAGTTTCGAGCCCTCCGCTATGCCGTCGACGGCCACGCCGTCGAGCCCGCCCACGGTGTTGCCGTACCCGCTGCCAACGTCCGATCCGACCTCTGCGAGCCCGTCCTACGAGCCGTCGGCATCTCCATCGACCGCGGCGCCGTCGGCACCGCCGAGTACCACGGCGCCGTCATCTTTGCCGACGGTCGTCCCCTCGCCGAAACCGACGCGACGGCCGACGCGGATCCCGACGTCCCACCCCTCGGCGACGCCGACATCGATGCCGAGCACCGCCGCGCCTTCGGGTGGGCCCACAGCGCTGCCCGTGCCGTTGCCGACGTACAGCCCGTCGTCTGCGCCCAGTTCGAGGCCCTCGGCGCCCCCGTCGCCCCATCCTACGCGACGACCCACGCGCGTGCCATCGCCGTACCCGACGGCGGTCCCGACGGGCACTCCGTCGACGTTCGTGCCGAGCGGCTTCCCGAGCGGCCTGCCGACGCCCATTCCCAGCACGGCTGCGCCGTCAGGAGGACCTACAACTCTTCCCCTGCCGCAGCCGACCTACGCTCCGTCATCGGCGCCGTCGCCCAGACCGACGCGCGTGCCGCTGCCGAAGCCGACGGCGACGCCTACGGCCGAGCCCACACGACGGCCGACGCGGGTTCCATCGCCGTCTCCCTCGACGGCGTCGCCCACGACGCTCACGCCGACGAGCGGCCCGTCGACGCTTCCGGAGCCCCAGCCCTCGGGCTCGCCGTCGTACGTGCCGTCGGCCGCGCCCAGCACGGCTCATCCTTCGCTGCCGCCGAGTCTGTGTCCGTCGACCACGGTCCCGACGCTCTATCCCCTCGCGAGACCTACCGTGCTCCCGTTCCCCGCGCCCTCGACGTGCCCGACGTACTCGCCCTCGGCGTTGCCGTCGACGTCATCGCCGTCGGCCGCTCCTTCGACCGCCGCGCCCGACGGCTCGCCGACGGCGTCGCCGTCGACCGCGGCGCCGTCGACGGGA